TTAGGGTTGCGTGAAATCTACAAGTGATGTCTAAGAGCGTGAGGCGATGACAGGCAATCCCTCTTTTCCTTTTCTTTTTGTTTTAAATATTTTGGGTCGGTTAAGGCTTGCTGGATCTTTGGTACGTGCAAAGAACACCAAACAATGGAAAAAGCGTAAGCCCGAATGTGAAAGCGCTGCGATATTTTTCCTTTGTGAGATTATTCTGCGATATTGGTCAAAGCACTAATTATCCGGCGCTGTTTTTATTCTTTCCTCCCTTCTATTTTGACAATTTTCCTATTAGTAATAATTTTTCTCTTAATATTTAAAAAAATAAATTATTTAAATAAATTTTTATATTTTTATTATATTTATAAATTATTATATTTTTATTTTAAATTAAATAAAATTTTATATTTTTATTTTTTAATTAAATAAAATTTAATAATTAATAATTAATTTGATTAAAATATTATTTATCATTTTAAAATAAATAATATTAACATGACATATTAATATATCATAATTAATAATAAAATGATATATTAACTTATTATAATTTATGATGATATAAAATATTTATATATCATATAATATTTTTTATCTTTCACATTAATATCTTAGTATTATATATATATAAAATAATAAATATTATTTTAATTAATAATAATTAATTAATTATTAATTATAAAGATTTATTTGATTTGAAATAAAAGTATCAAAACTTGATTAAAGATAATAAAAAATAAAAATTTATTAAACTTTGCTTAAACAATTTATGAGCTTTTTTTTAGCATTATGCCTATTTTTTTAACTTGAATAAGTATACAATCTAATTACATTTGAAATTTTAAAATGAACAAGAGAGCAATTATATGAATAGAAAAATACTTAATTGCATCCAAAAATAATTCTTGAATTTATAAAAAAATAATAAATATTATTTAATTTTTCTATTTTTAAATGAAACTTATTTATATATTCTCTTACTCATCATCATTTGATGAAATAAAATAAGGATGTCAAATAGCAGAGCATTTTGTACTTATTTTTAAACTATTCTAATCCGAATTTTATAAATATTTAAAATTTTTCATTATTATTCAAAATTATTTTAATTATTACTTATTAAAAGTTGATTAATGAAAATTATATTAATAAATTATAATTAATTCATAAAAATTTAAATTTAAAATCATTATTTATAATTGAGTATAAGTATCTGGTACTCTAAGACTTCCATTATCTAAATCTTACTTGAACTCGAGTTTAGGGTATTTTAATTTTACTTAAATCAATTAGATAATATAAGATATTCAATTATAAGATACTCGTTGATATCTTGATATAAAATCTATTTTATAATATAAGTTTAATAAATTAATAAGCAACATGATCACCTTAAAATTACAATATTAATACAAAATAAACACATATCTTCTATAAATTTAGAAAACTTACTTATTAGTAAATTGTGAACTATATATAATACTCTTATGTGTTATAAATATTTTTCTATGCCTCATCGCATTTTATAATTTATGGGTTCATGTAACTATATTCTAACATACTATGTTTCACTTTATGGTTGCCAAATGATAATTAATACAATAAAAGAAAAAGAAAATGACAATAACATACAAAAAAAAAAACTTACTCAAATAAAATACTTCAAATTTTGTAAAAATATAAACAAATATAAATACATTTAAAGATGTAATTTAATGAGAAATGTATGTTATCATATATTTCGTTTAAAAACTTTGTTTGAATCTTCCATTTCAAAATTTTTTTTGTATTAGTTGATAAATATATATAGGTACGATTTAAGCCTTGCACGAATGGAACGACATCGTTTACTAGCTGCTCTCATCGTTTTCGCAACACGACATTGCGATTCTAGCTGGACCACGGGAAGTGGACTGTCAGACTTTCAGAGTCCTTCACTTCTTCACCGTAAAAACCAAAGCCAGCGAAGAAAGACAAATTCCATTTCCGGAGAAACGGAAAAAAATAATTCAATTTAAGTGGATAAGATTTCTTTAAACCTTTCTCTTTCTCATATTCAAAATTCCCCAACCGTAGTAATAGTATTATTTTTTGTAATTATTTTAACTCTCCACCGCCGAGCTCGAAACTCAAAATCCCATGGGATTAGCTTCAGCCGTTCACCACGGCGGTGGCATTCGAATCGCTCTCAATTTTGATCTCAGGGTTGCGCCAATCTCGCTTCCTGTTCAAGCTCCCAGATGGACCAAACTCCGGTTCGCTCATCCTCGTCTCTCTACTATTCATTCAGGTCCCCCAACATAATCTTTATTTCACGCGTTAATTATTTAACTGACCTGCTCGACTTTGATTTTTTTTTCTTTTCCAATTTAATTTGTGATTTCAGTTGTCAATATCCGCCGCACGCAATGTTTCCCTGTCGCCCGCGCCAGAGGAATGGAGCAGGAGGATTTATCGACAGGTAATTATTTTAATTAACTTTATGAATTTGTGTTAATCTTCAAAATTAGAAGCATTTTGTTTTGATTTTATTGTTGTTCGAGAAAATGATGGATTTATGGAATAAATAAATCAGCAGAAGGGGAGAGGAAATCAGCAGAAGGGGAGAGGATAGATAGGTATGCATATGCTGATTCAGAGGAGAAACTTCAGGAAAATGAAACTTATGTATCGTCTGTTAAAACTGTTGCACTGTGGGTGGGTTCTCTCAAATTATTGTTATTTATCCTTTATTGAACAATGTTTTGATTTTAGTCATTCCAAGGATTAAAGACATTTTGGGGCATTAATTCCTACGTATAGGTGTGCGCCGCCCTGGCTTTTGGAGTTGGTCTGGGATTGAAGGAGGGAGTTGGCCCAGCATCAGAGTACTTTGCCGGGTAGGTGGAACTTTTGAGTTTGGAAAGTTAACCACAAGTCGATTCCTATACATCTATCTGATTGTCATGGTCTTTTCTTCTCTTTTTCAATGAATTTTATGCTCTCAAGTTTGGGATTAACAGGGTTATTCAGTTATATCAACAATTATGATTCCCTGTCAGGTACATATTGGAGCAAAGTTTGTCAGTGGACAATTTATTTGTCTTTGTTCTGATTTTCAAGTACTTCAAAGTGCCACATATGTATCAGGTGCCATGCATTTATCTATCTGCTTAAGTCAATGCTATAATTCCACATGACTATAGAGCCTAAGGCTGTCAATATTTAGCATAACAGCTCTGAGAAAAGACATACTCGTGCAAGATGAGCAATTCCACATTAACCTCTGGTAATTGAAATTTTGTTATGTTCAAAATGTAGAACCGGGTACTTTCTTATGGTATTGCTGGTGCAGTCATCTTCCGTTTGTCATTAATACTGCTTGGAACAGCCACCCTTCAGGTAGATCATTGTTCACTTATCAAATTTGTGTCTGTTTGCACATGAAGCATGCTTTACTGCTAGTCTGGGCTCATATATTCTCCCTGTGCTGTTTTAGAGTTTTGAGGTTGTTAACCTACTACTGGCTGGCGTGCTCCTATTCTCATCTTTCAAGGTGCTGCATCTCTACTGATTGGTTTTGCAATCATATTGGTTTCTATCTATTAAGATGTGTGGAATCTTATTTACCATATTCACGACAGTTCTTTTAGCTTCTGCATGTGCTATGTTTGATTCATTGAGTTCAAATTATAGTGGCTCATCATTTTCTTAATTTCTGATAGCTATTTACTGATAAAGATGAGGATGACAGTGATCTCTCCAACAACTTCATAGTGAAGACATGCCGGAGATTTATCCCTGTCACAAGTAATATTTTATGTTTGCATTAAATCCCCTTCTACTTTTTGTCTAAGTTCGTGTAGTTTATTTTATTTATTCTTTTAAAGGTTGAATACTTACGTGCAGACTGCGAATCTTTGATGTTTTGTTGAACCATTTGAACTAATTTCTTTGCATTAGTTAATGCTTGTGATCTAGATTTAATTCTTTATGCTTTTATCATTGCAGCTAATTATGATGGTAATAGATTTATAACGAAACAGAATGGCATTTGGAAAGTAAGTCATCCTATAACAGTTTCCACATTCTCTATTCTTGTTACTGCCATCATATCGTATGTCATGTGAACTATAAACTAGCAAAATTTTCTTATTCTGGAAAATTTTTAAGTTCCTTTACTGAGTTCAATAAATTCTCCATTCTAACAGGTGTCAAACATTTTGGGCAGGCCACTCCTTTACTTCTCACGGTAGCAGTTATTGAGCTCAGTGATATAGCCTTTGCTGTAGGTCTCATGCTTCCTCATCCATGGCTGGCATATGGACTTTGCTGGTTAATGATGTAATGATATGCAATTTTTCATTTTCTTCAGGTTGACTCAATACCAGCTGTTTTCGGTGTTACACGGGATCCTTTCATAGTTTTTTCATCTAATCTCTTTGCTATCTTAGGTAATTCTTGTTGCATATTCTCAATATAAACTTTTTCTCTCTTAGAGGAGGATTAATTTACTAT